TGTTTCATGTGAGAAATGGTGTGTATTCATACACTTGAACTGTACCTAAAACAAGGGAAATATACAAAGCATAAGCGCTATAATAATATTGCGAATTACTGCTTTGTGGATGTACATAATCCAAAATTTCAATCTGGCTAACATGAATGATACTTAATGCTATGTTTCTTGAGGGCTGGGTTCACTAAGTATTCCGGATTTAGGAAGAAACTAATCTCTTCACCAAATCACAAAGGAAAAAGCAATTTGTTATTTCTACAGCTCAATGTCGAGAACCAAGATAGCTATCAGCAGAGCAAATTACTACAGACTGGACAACTGGAGTTTAACCCCCAGCATGGGCAAAGGATTTTTCTTCTAGCCTCTGTGTCCATATTGGCTCAGGTGCCCACCCATCCTCCTAGCCACTGGGAACTGGAGGTCCTTTCTCTGGTGACAAAGCACCGAAGGTATGATGCTGACCACTCACCCCATCTAGTGCTGAAGTCATGAATGATCTCTCCCCCAAATGCCACCACGACATGTAGTGGGACAGCTTTATTTTACAGCTCAATGTCTCTCATTTTCAATAAAATCAAATATAAGAAAACATAAGAATGTAATGAGGGATAACACATGTACTGCTATCTATAAATTAATTTTGTTATCCAACACTTATAACGATGCTATATATTGAGACCCACACTAACATCTCTCTCTTCTGACAGCAGCATGCTTCAGGTTTGTAAATGGAGTAGAGACAGCCTCCAGAAAGGAGGTAGATACAAACATACTGAATAAGCTCCAATGCACAACAAATAAGGAGTGATCTTGGCCATCATTTTTCTTCATGACTCTGGGAAGAAGTTAGACCCATTAGAAACAGATTGGAGTAGGCCCCCTCCAAATCACTTGACAGTGGAAATAAGATAATAGTATCAACTATCAAATCACTGTTATCAATTACCACTCATATCAATAATGTATATTCACATTATGAAGGTACTTTTGGAGCTTATTACTTTATTCCATACCTATTCAAGTGACTAAATTGACAAAGCAAAAATTCATGAAAGATTGTAACCACCATTACAACACCACTATCCACTGCAGAAACATTTTATTTAGTACACACCAGGATAGTGGTTCTACTAATCAGCTGTTTCACACCACAACACACATCTTTTTGGTAAAAAACATGGGGCAAAAGACACTTTCACATGAAAGGAAAAACCAAACCTTCAAAAGTTGAATTAGAATTATGTTTCCCACGTGCTGGACATTAACTAATTACAACTTGTATTACTGCCAGATACATGCAACAAGAAACATTTCTAAGTATAAAGTGGACTCTCCTGTAACTGACTCTCCAAGTTAACTGATTTATTTCTAGAAATCAAATTTTACAAAACAAAATACTTGAAGATATCCGTCTTCTGGCAGTATGACCTCTGAAACGTTGGTTAACATCGACCAGACTACACAGCGCAATAACCCAGAATACGGATATCTTCATACTCACCGCTGTGAGAACCTCAAGTCTTACAACAAAATACTTCTTCATAAACTTCATGAATTTGAACAGCTAAAAGTGTACATCATTTTGTGAGTTCTGTGGTTAATACTGTTTAACTTTTTAATACTGTACACTCCTGTTTTCTCAAAAGAGCAGTGTCATATAGTGTCTCTGTAACTGATAAATCACCATAAGCTTAGTAAATGCCAATGATGATATTTCACTCTATGCTCCACTTTCATGACTTATATTACATTTATTTTTATGTTTCTCCAAGTGAAGTTTGCAACTCTTTCCAATTACCCGCCCTAAAACTACACCATTTAAGTGGGAGTAAACCATACCACAGTCCTCCTTCAGAAGTCAACAGTTATTCAGCTAACCATAAACTTCCTAACCTTTCATAAAACCCTAAGGCCCATTACCACTTTCACAAGTGCCAGTAACTTATCTTTATCCAGAGCTACATGAATCCAGTCCACACCACCACACCATACTTAAGAACCATTCTAATATTACCCTCTCATTAATTCCAAAGTGTTTGTAGTGATTTCATCTTCACATTTTCTGGTCCAAATTTTGTATCTCTCATGTGTGCTACATGCCCTATCCATCTCATCCTAATAATTTACTTAATATGCAATACACATTTGTTTCCATTAGTCTGTTCCACAAATTACATACAAGATTTGTTTGTGCACTTAAACACAGCCAAATCAAAATAAATGTAAACAGTTATGTTCACATAAGCCCTCTGCCTCACAGCAGAGTGGGAAGTGGAGCTACAGTAATAATGGTCTATTACTATGAGGCCTGCAACCATAAACCCTGATGCCAACTACAAATGATAACGTTCCTTGCCTGACGTATTCAGATAAGTCAATATTTACCTTATCTGAAATGACATATAGTGAAGGCCAAGCTTGCAGATTCATGCAGCCTGCTGTACATTTATAAGAAATTAAACTATAGAAGCATTCACACAATTCTTGAATGTCAATTATTTTCTCCGACACAGTCCACAAACTACAAATAACAAAACATCAGCTGCAAGACACAAAGCAAGCAAAAGTGATATCACAGAGACCAGAAGAACAAGCTAATAACACAACATTGCAAACCGAAACATGCACCACTGTACGTACTTATACTGCTTCCCATATTCAGCTTGTTACAATCCCAGACAATTTTATGAAGCTACTGTTAACAAGTAACACCGGTGTATCATTCTTAGAGGGTAACAAACATGAACCCTGTTATTGCAGTCACACAGGTGCTGATATAGATGGAAATTATAACAACAGAAACAATTACATTTCTTTACAAGTAAACATTTCCACTCCTTTCTTTAAATTCACGCTTCTAAATATATAAGAGCAAAAAACAACTCCCCCAATAGCAGAAATTAGGAAAGAAAGGCATTATTGCTATAAAATGAAGGAATGGATAATAAGTACTCTTACTGTTTTGCATATGAAAGCATTCAATCTGTACAGAAGAAATTTAACCAAATACTATCAATATGTTTTACATTAAAGATGATTACATGACATCTGACAGCAAGATAATTAATTTTAAGGTAATAACAGTTATAGAACAATCATAAAATTGTACCCATCTCCATTTCATTAAGAATGCCTGGTTAAAAAGAGCTGTACACTTCTGAGAAAACTCCCTCTGCATTATATCATACATATGACAATAATTAATGAACCGCCACAAACCCGATCAGTTTCCTTTAATGATACTAAACAGTATATGAAATCAAAGACCGTTAGTAAGACAATGTAAATCTCACAAGGGGAAAAAGAGTGCCGTGAGAAAGTTGCCTCAAAGGACTGCTCCTGAATGTATCTGGGAAAAATGTCACCAATTAACAGAACTATGGCTTAATGAATGAAAGGCCAACATCAAGCCAGATATGGTAGGTAAGTCCTCTACTACTCATTTACAAGTCAGAAGACAAGATGCTCAGTACTGGATGTCAGCACAGTGTGTGAGAAGGATCAATACATCACAGGTTTTCAATTGGAAATTATTGGAATTTGATCTCAGAATTTCCAGTAAATTCAAACATTTATAAAATAAAAATATGATTATCAAACAAAAATGGAATTGTAAAAGCAACTGAAGAAAAAATATAGGAAAGGCAATTAGCATGATGTGGAAACATACAACAAATGTACAAAATAGATGGCCAATGAGAATACTGGAGTGGAAACTTACGGACAGGAGAAAGCATGGATGCCCCAGAAGAAACAGGGAGACAATGTGGATAAAACTTACTGAAAGGAGATTGGAATAAAAGACAAGTATGAAAAAATGGGAATCGGAAGGCAGAATATCATAATGAATCTCATGTGTGTGTGTGTGTATGCTGATGATGATCTATTAAAGTGTATTAAGTTTTTAAAGTTTGTAAAAATTTTTACTGTCATCGTTATGATAAAATAAAAATTTCTATATGTGGTAGCTTCAAATAGTTCCAAGATCATCAGCTATATTTTAAGTCTGGTAGTATTAAGCTCTTTGACACAGGTGCCTTCATGACACCATCCTTCAGCTGTTACAAACTTATATGCAATCTTCAAAATATTTAAACTGCCACTACACCCTTGAATTGATGCTATATGGTCTCAGTTACTGAAAAAGCATCGTTAAATAAACTATAAATAAAATACATCATTGAATTGACAACCATTCATCCACAGAAAAAAGCAAAAACTGCACATTTGACATCAAGAGAGTAAAGTGGGTTGGAAACCACAACAGTATCAATGTACTGAAGCTTGAAGTCTTTGCTACCCACACGTTGAGACACTTTAGGCAAACTGCTTCCCACAGATGGATAAGCATCTTGTTGGACATTGCACCTTCAGGTATAAGCTCTTGATATACAATAACCTGCCAGTTGAAAGAGACATCCATCACCATCCCTTCTGATTGACCTTGCCAGATCTTCATAGCTCTCAGCAATGATGACCTCCAGATAGAAACATGTTTACTGTGGAGACACTCTAGTATCTAATCATGAACAGAAAGCACACCTCCTAAACCACAATCACAATGTCCTAATTCTGCAATGTTGCAGGCTGTTCCCTGTACAGGTTGTATTCCAATGATTCATAACCATCCTGACCCATGAGATGTCACTGAAATCCTCTGGGCAAGGCATAATTTGCCATAAACCATCCAAACACCAGTAGCACATCTGTTGGTAATTTTCACATCATCGGAAAAATTTGATGTTATTCTGTTACTTGAAACAATCCATGTCACCACTACGAAAGTTTCCATGCAATGTGCTCTCCTCTGAGGCCTATCACACCTGATAGTCTAACAACTCCTTTGTAGAGGATGTGCATGCCTTTACATGTACAAGCAGTCACCAATCTACCTACTACAATGCTGTTATATTTGCTTCTGTCCCAGAAATGAATAAAGCTATCACACATACAATACATATATACATATATTACATACCAAACCAACAGACACATGATGCGCTACTAGTTGTTCCTTTATTTTAAATATTACTGTGCATGTAGACATTTCATAATAAATAACATTTATGAACATTACAAATACACATTTTCTATTCTGAACCCCAAACTGCAGTTTAACTGTTACTTCTATGGCCCCACTTACGCAATAAATAGTAAAACCTATGCACCAAACAATGAAAATGTACAAAGAGAGGAGACAGGAGTTAAACCACCAAATATTTGTTAATCCCAATGAAAGAGCCTCTATTACCCAGTGTATAGGATACATAGATTCAGAGCCACTGGTACGTCTTTTCTTGCAGACCACAATTATTTTACTGTAAAGTTATAACAACACTAATGCTATATGGAAGACATCTCAACTGTGTAAACCTCTTAAATCTAGTAAGTGATATAATTACAGTGAAATCAAGGTTTCATAGAAAGGGCTCTGGCTTCATGCTTGAGCCTCCATAAGATACACACACATTTTTCAATTTGGCAAATATAATGATCACTTGGCACTAGCACACAACACTCAAATGTATGTGTAGTTAGGATATTTCTAAACCTCAAATCGGCTTGCTGATTTTTTACATTGCATGGATTAGTATAATGTGTGTAATGAACTGATGGTAGAACCTAACATCAGTAGTGTTACTGATCATATTGGTGTCTTAATTAAGTTTTAATTTTAACTATTACCTGTCTAAATATTTTCTTGTTCAAAGAACTTATATAATACAATATACCAGTCTAGTTTATGGGAGAAAATCTCGTCCTCTTAAACAGCTACTGTTTTGTAAACCATTAACCTTTTATTCTGAAGCAGATGGGAATGTTTCAATGTTCAGAAGGTTCTACAATTCTGAAATACTGAAATTAATTTCTACTATTTGTATTATTTTAAGATTTCTAAACATAAACTACATATTTCATTATATACTTGAGCTGCTTAACTTTATGAATGAATATTATTTTGTGTTTGCCTCACTGTGGTAATTATATTTTCATCCCTAAGCAAACTGTCATATGTTTTGTACGAACGGATTTATGCTATTCATATGCAGTAAGTTTACCACACAATATATTCAAGTAAATCTGGTACAGAGAACAAAAGGAAGATATGAAGGCCATATTAAGAGTTGAAAGAGGTGTCTAATTACAATTGAAAACTATGTTTAATGCTCTTTTTCTCAAAATAATGCAATACAGAACTTTTACAAAGAAGTAATCATTAAGATTAATAATCATATTAATAAAGTGATAGTAGTAAATAGTTCTTGCAGTAAATGGACAAGTATGAAAAGGATTTTTTGGGAGAGATTTTCATTTTTCATTTTTTTAGATACTGACCATTGTACACAACATCAAACGATATCGACAGATACAGACACACACACACACACACATACACGATTAGTTCACATATCAGTTTGTTTCCATACTTCACAATTCTGAGCCCGAGGTTTCTTCTTCATGAACTAACCTACACAACACAAAAATATTGCACCATCAACACTCCTCCAAGTACCCTGATAATTCCAGATTTATTCACAATTTGTGACAGCCACTCAGACAGGGAATGGAACCAACAGCAAAAGTCAGCTACTCAGTCATCAGAAAGGGATTTTAAAATGGACCTGCCATCTGAACACCACATGGCTAAACATTTTGCATCAATCTTGAATGCCAAATTAAAATAGTGATGGGTTATTAGGATCACTCATAAATCAAACTTAAAGTTCCTACGTTTCATTAACACACCTTCTTCAACCCTTTCCTTGCCAGTAAACTCATACAGCGTTGATGGGACACGTTTTGCTAAATCTACCCGATACTAAAATGGTTTTATATTGTATTCTACTGAATATATATATATGTATAAGTATACATGTATTAAGAGATAGTAAGCTGTATAAAGTATTTAATTTTCAAGACTTTCTGCTTCTTATCTTGGGAAGAGAAGTACTACCAATGCTTTACAAAACATCTTTGTAATTCTTAAATAGCTCATATCACTTGGCTTTTCTATTAGAGAGTTAAATAACTGAAATTTTGAACAACGAGCCCAAACCACATTCTAATCTGGAGAAATTATGATCTCCTAACTTACATAATAATTATCAAATATTACTTGGAGAGATGTGGAAGATCAAAGTAGTCAGTGTATTCAGAGTGATAATTCAAGCAAATTAAGTGTGTTTCAAAATCAGCTTCACAACAACACAGAGCATAAATTCCAAAGCAATGTTCCATGAATTAATATTATACAATTTCATTCCAGCAAACTTCCCTGTAACTCAGCAGACCCTAGAGCCATTATGGCATCGCAATAAGAACCAAAGCCAGCAATCAAAACCTATCCATTCAGTTCATAGCCTGTCACTTTTCAACATGTGAAGCAAATTTAAGTCATATGTGTCAGGACTAAATAAAGCTTACAGAATATAGCTCATATTCAAAATGTCAGATCTCAGGACAAAACACTCCCTAATACTGCATGGGATATTTGACGTTTTAATGTGGCACATACTTAAACACTACACAATGCACCATGATTTTATCCATAATTTCATAAAATTTGTATTTTTTTCATAACATTTAGGCCTTAAACAATTCAGATCTTTTCTCAAATTAATGCAGATAATGTAACTTACCCTCTTCCCTGTATAATTTGTGAATAACTGATGTTCATACTAATTTTTTTTAGACATTTCAAGTGTGTCATGTTGGTACATTTCGTTACTGTCATGGGGTTATCAATAACAAGTGGTATTATGAAAACTAAAATCCATACTTTCAGCAACCAGAGTACAAGCAGCTCAACATTCAATTGTAATAACAAATTTGTATGTACAATGGAGTTGTGGTATAAATAATCAAAATGATTTCCTATTGCAAGTACAATAATAGTCTATTAAGACTACTTTTTACTACATCTCCAGATGAAGCACACCCTATCTATAGTTGACTGCAAACTGATGGAAAAAACATACCTAAATGATTACTTTGATCTTACTTTAATGCTTTGGTTCAATCCCCTGTCAACATAAAATGGGTTCAACATAACCACAAACTGAAGCAAATATAGCCATTGTACTGGTGTCACCATACTGCCAAATCTAGAAGCAACTAATTTTGTTAAAAAAAGAAGAAAGTAAATGTCAAATTTAAAATCACAAGACTGGTTCAAACTGTGTGCACATAATGTATCTTGTTCTTAACACGTAATTTGTTCAATGTTAAAAGTTTGCACAACTTTGGTACTGACAAGAAGTAAAAGACAAATATACAGTTCTAAAAATATAAAAGCAACATAAATATTTGTACATTGTATGTGAAAAACACACTTTCATTCTTGACAATACATCAGGTCTATTTAATGATTTTATAAAATTATCCACTTCTTTGGTACAGATCCAACATTGGATTAAGATGTACACTAATGAAAGCCACTTGGCCAAAAATAACATCACAAGTAAACTAATTTTTTAAAAATGCACACCTTATGGAACTTTTGGAGAAGGAAAATGGGAAATACATATTTCCCTCTGCAAAAATACTATCAACAGTGCACTTATACAAATTATGCAAGACAATTAAAAAAACAGTCTTACAAATTCAAAGAACATCACAAACATGTTATGAAGTACATAAAATTCTAAAAAGATAGGAGATAATATGCACACAATAAATGTCATTAATAAAGAGAGGCTACTACCATACTTACTTAAAATTTGATGTAAAAGGCAGCAGCCAACCAAAGCAAATTTCCATGCACACCCATTTCCAACCATTCACATCTAACACCTATGACCATATTCCAAACAGATGTGAGGAGAAATACCAAAACTATGAACTGCATATACATAATTATCTGCTTGATATGAAATCCAAATATTTTTATGGCTACTAAATGCAATTAATTCTTCCTGGGTGATCAACTGTGCATATAAAAAGTAAAAACCTGATGTTTCAGAGATTGTCTCTGACTCCAGCATCAAATGTTTACTCATCACAGCTGATCACACAAAAAAAATTCACTGTACCTGCTCCATACTCTTCTGTCAGGTTGCTGGGACCTAAGTAAATAGAAGGAGCCTAACCTACAATTCAGTTCCATCCAACCTTCATCCTATTACCTACCAAAATTACAAATCAAGCAACTAACATGGCCATTACAACAGAAACTATCTTTTCAGTTATGCATAGCCATAAAATAAATAATCTAAATGAATAAGTAAAATAAAAAACAATGGCTAATTTATATGTGACTATCACAAACCCCCAAGACACTGAATCAACATGAAATAAGAAATTCATAACCTTCAATGTTTCAAAAAATACTAATGTCTGAATGAAATATGGCCTCAGTTTCCACTAAAGGGAATACAGTAAGACAACTGAACCTGCAAATTATCCAGTGGCTCAAATATACAAGATGCACTCAGCACTATTTCCTAAAGACTGTCTTTTCCAAGCAACTGCTCTGTAATAAGCAGGGGCAAAGTGTTCATGTTAACCATGTTAGCCAACCAAACATTTTGAAAAATGAAAAATAGAGTCTTTCAATGTTCTTGTGTATGGAGTACCACTGAAACACAAAATTAAAATATAAAACTTTTTATTTTTCATTTTACAAAGTGTTAGCCACACTAACAAAGCCAGTCACACAAACACTCTACCTCTGGTACCAAATCAGGATAGACAGTGTTCTGCATATCATCCCTACCCTTACACCCCCTCTTCGTAACACTAACCATCAGCAGATGATCAAATGGAGATCTGTCCAAAATTTTAACAGAGATATGCATATCCCTTTTTGGACAACCACTATATATTCACTTGCTGTACTTCACAACAATACCCTAAATTTAAGAACTTGATGCTCTCTTTTCTTGATCCCATTGTACAATATTGGAACAACAGAAATGAATGTTTGTAGACAGTCTGACTTCTGCTGCTGTCCCCCCCCATGTCAATATTTCAGTCAGGACCCTTGCACCCTATTACAACAGACCCAAAATCCCATCCCCGTTGACATCACGACTGAAAGAGTTGGCCTGAATGCCTGAAGTCAGGATCGGACAGGAGACGGTATCTGCCCACCCTTCGCTCTGCAGAATCCACTGGGTGCATGCATGTGATGGAGAGAAGAAAATACTACAGTCAGATCCCTGTATCCCTTGAAGAATGCATGTCTTTGGGAAAACATTCAACTAATTTGTATTTGAATATAACAGTGGTTCTCAAGAACTATTTATATGGTCTGGGATATACTGTCTCAAGAAACAGGAACTGTGAACAGAAATTACAAAAATCAAGTCTGAAGAATTCTCAACATGCAACTAATAGTAACTCCAAGTTAAATTCCAATAGTACAGAAAAGCAAAGATTGTAGTTTCAAATAATATACAGATGAAATTAAATGTTTAGAGCCTTCTGAGAACCACTGGATAAAGATTGTAGCATATGTAAGATACATCAAGTAACTCACCTGACTCCCAACCATCCTCCTCTTCTTCCTCTTCGGCTGTATCAGACTCACTTGAATCATTTCCTGATGATTCACTTGGTGTTTCTTGGAACTTGGTAGCCTGCCTGCTACGTGACCAGCACTGCTCCATTGGAGGGACCGAACCCAATTCTGTGGGAACTCGGTGAAGGAACAAACTCACCTATGAAAACATAATTAATTCAAACACATGTGGGAAACCAAATTAAAACAACACTACATAGTACAATGTGCTAAATGTAATTACAGCTACCATCTCAAATCTGTCACTTCATTTTAAAACACTAGAAATGTAAGCATACAATAATTGGAAACATTATGTAACCAACGTTCCAAATGAAAATAAAAGTAAATATTCTGACTTTTAAACTAAGGGAATTACTTCAAAAGAAATGCATATTCAATTCAATTCATTCTGTGTCAAATGGTTACACGAAGGGACCAACATTTTGGGAACCATCTCTGTTCCCATTGGTCTCTTCATGTAACAATTTGAAATGGCTGATTTCCAGAGAAGATTTTATTGAGTTTATTCGCCATGAAAGTTTCAGATCAAATAACTTACATGTTTTGTCCATCATGTGCATGTGAATATTTTATTTAAAACATTAAAGTCTTTGCTTCTCAGAGTCTCACCACCTGCTGTGGTGTTACCTTTCTTACTACTTAAACAACTGAGAGAAAACTTACCTTAAAATCTGAGGTGTAAACCTTATTCTGCTTATCTTTATGGGCATCATCAAGTCCCCATTTATCAAGCTGTAGCACCAACATCTTCATGTTTGGCTCTAGCGACACAAGAGAACCAGTTCTGAAAGAAACATCAGCTGTCATTAACACTGCACATGCTCTTTATGGGCATCAAAGACATATGTAAGTATGCTGATTAATTCAATTTTCAAAGTGTATATGACCAAACAACACCCAAAAGTTGTCAGCTTTTCTAATAATAAAATTTTATGATTCACACATAACAGCATTTCAGTAACAAAGTCATTGAATCATACCAGTTAATTTTAGAAGCAGTCTCTATAGAAAGAAAATTTTTTAATTAGCTAATGCCAAAACACTAGGTTTTCAGAAAAAATAACTAAATGTATATTTCATCCTTGGCACTAGATGGGGATGAGCAGTCAGCGTCACACACTGACTGCACTTTACCCCACGGAGGAAAGGACCCAGGGTACCCACTGGATGGGCCCCAAAGTCAGTCTGGTAATCAAATTCCCATCTTCCAGGCCATAGTCAGACACTATACTAACTGAGCTACCCCAGCTCCCTTTACCTTCATTATTCTTTTTTATTTAGTGCTGTATTTTGAGAGGATTCCGCACTTCAATCACTTTCAGATTTTGCAAGTATCCATCAGAATGAGCATTTTTCCTGATGTTATAAATTCTCAATATATCAAGGTTGCACTGTAGATCATGTTGAATACCTTGGTTGCCGAATGTTAAGAGGTGGCACATGGGATTGTTCGTCACAGCTCATGGCTCGGCTAGAACGTTCAGGAGGCATCATATCCATGTCCTCATTTCCGTTCACAGAAGCCTCAGGTACTTGTACTTCTTCACGAACAAAGAATGTATTGAACCAAAAATGAAACATCTTCTCCTAAAAAAAATACATGCTATTAAGTCATTATACTTTTTCTGTAAAACTAAATTAATGTTTTCATTGTTTTGTAATGTTTACACTACTGTATTTAGGCCTTGTATCAACATCAAAAATTTTATGATTTAACTGATATCAGATAAGTGGTGCTTTTCCTGGTGGTGCATAACAAGACACCATGGTGGTAATTACTTCAAACACAAATACAGAAACATGAATATGTGTTATCTTGCTATTAAAAATTTGAAAGTACTGGAGGTTAAAAGTAAAGTAAAGTAAAGCTGTCCCACTATATGCCATGTAGGCGCTTGGGGGGGAGTGGAGGTATAGCTCCTACTCATTCTTGACCTCGGGACTAGATGGGGGTGAGTGGTCAGCATCACGCCCCGGCCGGCTTTACCCCCGGAAAATGACCCCGGTACCCATTGGATAGGAGGCTGGGTGGGCCCCAGAGCCGGTCTGGGCACAGAGGCTAGAGGAAAAATCCTCTGCCCCGTCGGGAATCGAACCCCGGTCGCCTAGTCACTATACCGACTGAGCTAAAGCAAAGATAAAACTTATTTTGATTGAAGTTCTTAGTTCTGGCATATTTCCAGATGCAATAACAGCACCTTTTGTAAAAGTTTTACTCTAACTCCTGTCTAAAGGGTTCTGACAATAATGCACTGCATTTAAAATTACTGGGTTTATTGACTTCATCATAACTGGACCAGTGACTGGGGTTAGTGCTTTCTAACAAACCAAAATAAGCAGGTGCCTCTTTTCTCTCTTCATTTTTCCTGACGATGGAAATAGATCCAGCTTCTGAAATATTGTGTTTTAAAATATCAGAAAATGGACAAAGTCCAGGAAACCAGTAATTAGAAAATTTAACTCCTTTGTCAAGTTCAAAATATTCCCTCCATTAACTGACAAACACATGTTTTCATGCATTATTTCACAATAAGCCAATACAGTACACGGAATTGCAAAGCATATATTATGAAACAAATTGAAGACTGTGTAAAAAGAAGCAATAAGTTTGGCTGACTTACTCTCCGCATCATCTTGGGTTTATTGAAGAACTCCACCTTGATATCACCTTGCAAAGGGATATACTGCTCCAAGCAAATGTGAAAAGAAGGAGAACCCTTCTTCACTTCATATACTGGCGATGAGAACACTTTTGTACTCGACTCAGAGATCACTAACTGAAGGCCTGAAATGTAAAAACTTAATTGTCCAAAATGAAACTAATTTAAATCTTAAAAAACTAATGAGCAGGGCCACAAAAAAGCACTCACTCATTCTCTGCAGTCAACATAAAAGAACTCCAAGAATTCAGCCAATCTCATACAACAAATAGAAAAACAAGTTGTCCCAGTGTATATGTCCTATAGAGCAATAAATTAAAAAAGAATAATTTAATTCATACCATGCATCTTAATATGAATTTAACAATCAAATTCATAACTATGAAGTAATGAACTGAATAATAAGTTTGCAAATTATAACTTTGGAGACCTGTGAAAATTATTCATTTTAAAACCACAACTTAGTAACAAAAAGCAGAACAACAAATGAAAAAGTTACACAACCAACACATCTAATTTGTACAAAATAACTTTCTAGGCATACACAATAAAATCTGAATTTCATGATATTAAATGTAAGGGTTACATCTTACACATTCTACAGACATCTGTACAATAAACATACCAAAAACCACATAGTCTCTATATGTACACCCAATACCCAATATACAAACATGGACAGTAACTTAAGCAAACTTACAAGCCTGTCCTCCATTAATAGTTGGCATGGGTTCTAGGTGAATTTCTTTGATGAGAAGTGTCACTGGATGGTAGTTTAATTGTTCTTGTAATAAAGATGCATAATAACCTACGTAACGCCGCTGGCTGGGTATGGTCACACCCTAAAATAAAACACAATTAATCAGGTCTCTGATAGGCAGGAACAACAAATTCTTTACACAAAGATATTTTCACACTTTATATTAAATTTGTCTCCCTTGTTTGTGTAAAACTAATTCTGCTTTCTTCCCCTTCCAGTTTTAAAAACATGCATGTTAATTGTATTTAATATATATAATATATATATATGAAAACATGCATCACATTACCACTGAAAATAACCAATAAATAAATTAACTGTGACTTAATCATTTACTTTAAAACTGCCTTCTCCATAAATTACACAGCACTGCTTAGCCACCATAGATAGCTAAGTAGATAGCAACTAGTTAAGTATTGGAGTGATTTTCATCACTGTCTAGAGAGGAAACTGTTAATTTATATCACTGTTTACATTTCACTGCCTAGTCACACTAGACGGCTAAGAAGTAGGCAGCCATTAACCGTTTATCACTTTTCAAGAGTCAATCCTATTAGTGGCACACAACTTATCTGCATGTGAAAACAGGCGTTCTTCACACGTGTTGTTCTTTACATTCTGAATTTGTATAATATTGTGTATCTGTACAATGATGCTAAATTCAGAAAAAAAATGCAAGTGTTTTGATGTGTTTTATGATTACTTTTGATGGTCTACAAATTACATTGGTAAAGAAGTGAAAATTACTGCACACCAACAGCATCTGTTATTGAATAGTTTTGACTACAACAGATATAGCAAGAGACTGAGAAAGATCATGTCACATTCCTTGCCACTAAGCATACATGTACAAACCACTGTCATAGTTGCTTCCAACTAAAATACTATATTCCAAACACAAAATAAAACTCGGTTGTTGAGCAAGCACGCTGTACTGGATAATGAAATCTTTCTTATTTTTACTGGTTGGAATTGTATATTAAATACTATGTATCATTGTGAATATTATCATAATCACAAACATTATCTTTGCAGGAAGAACTTGTCTCTACCTTAAATTAGTAAGATATAATCTCAAATGCTAGTAATGTTGCCATGTTTGTAATTATTAATTTATAAACAATATCCCATACATACATGGTAGGTATAGTTATAATCTACCTTTATATCAGTTTTCACATTCCTAGTTCAAACACCTTATTAATTATCAATATTGTTTGCAAAGGCTAATCCCCTGTCAATATCATTCCACCACTGCTTTATATCCACTTGTAATTTCCAGAGGGCTGGCTAGTGGGCCCATTAGAAGCTGAAATTCCACAGACAAAAGAGCAGTCATTATATATTTATGGAGAAGACTGAGAAGCGTGTGTCCCATGGAATTCAGAATAGGACTTGTTAAATTGACATTTACAGGTCATAATTTTTGTAACTGCTGTTTATATTTCAGACTTCAGCCACCAATACCCATCCTCAGATTCAACATGGAGAGACCACCAACTTTCAGGTCCCCTACGTCAATATTTCACAAGTCTTCTGCCATTCATTCCTTTGATCTGTACTCTCCACTATGAATAGTTTCTCACATGTCTTTCATATATTGGTAACCTCTATGTTCTCTAATTGTACTTTATATTAACAGAAAAATAAACATAGGTTTATTGTAATAATCACAGTACAACTATTCCTTACCTTCGTATCAAGGGTCCTCATCTGACCATAATAGTTGAGTGCCTCATTGGCTGTTGGAAACTGCTTACTATGTAACATATAACAACATACCATCACGCCAGTACGACCCTGAGAATATAAAAATAACATACAATTATAATTATATAAATAAATCTTCAAACAATGGAAGAAAATAGAGCATACAGCAAAGTAAAAGTACCAGTGAATAGAAGAAATTTGGAACTTCACTTTACAGGGCAAAACTTACCAGAGATGAGGACATTCTGAACATACTCAAGGTGTACTATGTTGGAAAGGAGGGGAGAGGCACTGAAACTGACATGAGCATGGGAAAGACAAGATTGTAACCTGCAGTAATCATGATTCTGCATCTGAGCAAGAATGGGAAAGAATTCTAAGGCGAGTAGGAGCAAAATATGGCAGTGAATGTTTAAACGGAACAAGCAAAACCAATTTTTTCTAAACTGAGTAAAACATAAAAATCAAAGATTAATTCTCTACCTTTCCTGCTTTACAGTGAACTGCTGCAACATTCCTGTGGTCCTGTGACAGCCAATTGTGGACATCTGTACAAAATGGTCCAATAAGTTCCATCTTTGGAGGGTTGTGATCATCAAATGGGTAATTGGCAACACGCTGCTGGAATTTTGCTACGTCATATGAACGCTCTGAACACCTGCTCAACAACATTCATTGCAATGAATATGTTTTACACTAGAAGTAATCTTGCTTATCAAGGACACATCTGCAACTTAGCATTAATTTAACTAACATAAATCATTGCTGTATTGATTTAACAAAGATAATCAATCACACACAAGTCCACTTTACATAAACTGCAAATTTATATAACATGGGCATTAACTACAATTGCTAATATGGTTACCTAGCAAAAAAAACAGGCAGACCAAATGTACCGATACTGAAACAGCTTCCACCATCAGGCTTAACTTAAAAAACTAGACATTCAGTTTCAATCAAACCTCAGAGTTGTTTAGCAATTTAACAGCACAAAGCCCCACATTTCTAACACAGGATCTCACTTTAAAAATACCAATACAGATATGCTCGAACATTTCATGTATATCAATCAGCACACAACACGTACTACTATTTTCACTAATGCGCTAATTTTAAGAAGCAATGCCAATTCATAAGCAAAGGTATCAAACTCACAAATTATAAATTTTGTAATGGTCTTTATGTTTAGCTTCCAAGAATTTTACAACATCATCAATATGATTCCTATATACTCAAAATATATATATATAAAAAAAGAATCAGGAATCTTGCCATTGGTTTTGTTGTTTTACATGTGACAGGTCTCACATGCAGTAGTTAGGATTGTGACTTAAATTGAACATGTGATTGTAAAAAAAATGTTTTATAACATCATAGCTATTTACAATGACCCAAATTAAAGCTTCTACCATACTACACAGTACTGCAGCCCAGAAGACAGCCCTCTAAATTAATAAATGTTAAGAACTGCTTCACAAAACCCAATCCATTGCAGTCCCAACTTGATATTTACAGATCTTTTAAATAATAATTACCACAAAATATATTAGAAATAAAACAAAACAAAACACCATATTTTAAGAAATGAAGTCAAAGATGAAATCCGAATACCTTGCAAACATTACTGAGCTGCATATATTGGTCATTGGAGAAGGCATATTATTCAATTTGAAATGAATTCTACATCTCAATTACAGCAGAAGTCATGCAACGTTTTCTAAGATAACATATGCCCAAGAAATGAGCTTTTTGACAAATCTGGATGTCTGCTATCAAAAATATTTATCTCCATTCAGACTACAACCTCACAAAAAATCATTAAATTCTGTGGGGGTTGGGTTGTGACCTGTGTTGGATTTGTCATGGAATGACCCTTCCAGTATCTACTCACAGGTAATGTGTGGAGAAAAGGCACAGAAAGGGAAGTTAACTAATTTGGAGAAAATCAAGGATTCCCTTATTGTCAAAAAATATCACATTTATACAAATGTGACCTAAGAAATATTTCAGACCACTTCAAAGTCAGCACAAAAAAAATTTGAAAAACCAACTAAACTACTTCCTCAAAAGAACCATTAGCATAAGATATTGCCGAAGCTTTGACAAAATCATCCATCACCAGCCAATCATCATGCAATATCTGACTGCATCTGCTTCCTATACCACTGTTCAAAGGTTATAGTTATACCTTGTGAAGAGATTAATCTTTTGTTCTGTTTAAATTGTGATACATATACACCATTGGACAATTTACCTCAACACTTAACTATATGAAAAACTTACAAATGCAATACATGTCAGTCAACGTTTACAACAGGCATAATTGCAAGAAAAATGTAACTGGAAAGTGTAAACAAAGGATACATGTAAGATCCAAATTGAATCCATCTTGGGTGTATCTTTTTCGTCTCTTACTGACAAGACCTTTAATAGGATTGGTCATTTTCATGTTTGACATAGTGTTTGCCATCTTTATGTAACCTGTGTACTGGCAAATTTCTTTAGAAGATGAACCCAATTCTGGTCCTCTTTGCTCCTCAACACAAACATGGAGTGGTGTTGCTGATGCAGAAAAATATTCAGACTTTACACTGTTCAGTCTAGACTTTCTGCAAGAAAAGCATAACCCCATAAAAAATTCACTGCACAGTTTTCACTGTTTATGACATCAGCTCTCGCTCTGACTGTCAACCAACACTGGTGAGAAAGAACACATCTTTCTCAGTTCATAAACACTAGTACAAGATTTAAAAGAGTTTGTAACGCAAGTAACTGGTCCGGGGCCAACATCAATGTGCAATCTGTCACGCTCCTCACTCAGGTAAGCAGAAATCACCAGGGCACTGCCATTGAAGAAGTGTCTAATCGGCACTCCTTTAGTCTTACGTAGGTATTAGATCATAATGATGATACCTGTGCAACACATTAAGAATGTTCGAATGTGTCAACAAGATTTTATTAAAATTCTACAGAAAAGTAGCATAAAGAAATGGCGTCTTTACACACAAACCTATACTTCTTTTCTACAACGTGAACAACAAAGTACATAGAAGTTTCACTCATATGGCGACTGCTTGCGCTTGAGGAAGTGGTAACGGATGCGAAATTTCCGCCTGCGTCGGCGCAATAAAAGTCAAGCAGAAGACACTGAAAGAATTTAACAGATCCGCCAATCTGAATGGAATACTGATGATTTAAAAATACTCCTGATAGTTAATAACTTTGCAGTATGTTTTAATATGGTATACTTTTAACTAGAATCACGAGTTTAGAATATCGGAACGTTCAAATATTTATTGTTATAATGCTCTGACCGACATATATTACAGAACATTTACATGTTGGTGTTGGCTATACTACTCAACGCGCAACGAATCTTGGAATTCACATCCACTCTCTTGACTGAAAGCACAACTGAAATCATATAGAGGTGGTTGTTCTATGTAGTAAATATAAGTACTTCATCCCGTCTCTGTGCACGGGCTTTGTTCTGTTACAATTTATTTTCAGAGACATTCACACTTCCGCTATTGGCGCTGAGAGACTATCAAAGTTCCACAATCAAGGTTCGACAAATCGATACATTCAACACTAAAGTCTTTGAAAAATATGCCGAAATTACTTATGTTCTTGATCAAGAATAGAACTGTTAATGTCATAAACGTGATAGCCATGCAACTTGTACACTTTAAACTTTGGCGTATTCGTTAACTTACTGACATTCTTGGCCCGAAACATTTAACAGACCTTTTGTCTGTAAGCTTTGGCTTGTGACTTAACCCCTTCAAACCCAATGCTAAATGTATGTACCACTTTAAAAATCAGTAATTCTGCATTTCGTCCACAGGGTGTATTTATGGGTTTTGTACGACTTTTAGTAAACAGATTTTTTTCCTAAACAGTCCAATGCTTACAAAATGGAGATGGATTGTTTTTTTGCTGAAGCAACTGAAATTTTAAATTCTAGGGAGCTTTGGCTTCAAAGATTAAACACATTAGTACTGTCCCCCCACCTCTTCTTTTCATGGAGTAAAACTGATGTGCAGCTCCTACATACAAGGAATACAACCACATGAGTATCCCATTTTGAAATATTTGGGGAATTTTAGTTAATGACATGTACATTACATACTCATCACACTAGCCTCTGCTATGGTGTATAATGAAGTTTCAGCAACAAAACATATCTACATAGAAAAGAAATTCATATGTACACTATACAGTCTGTTCTCTAGATACTGTACATGTATCACAATGTTTTTTTGATTAACACGGTCACTGATACAAACAAATTAAATGGTACTGAAGTAATGAAACTCTGGGGTTACGAATAAATTCTGATGTGTTTGCCAGGATTTCACCACTGATCTTAGTGAATGATACGAGTAACACCAGAATTGGGGATACCCTCTGGTTGCATATTTATTGGGGATTCTCCCACATGGTTTCATGGGTGCCTGGCTGAGGATTACTCAGTCAGTCACTTCCACCTGTGAAATGAATGAAGGTTTCCAAGTACAGTGTCCAGTATTGTTGTCCAATGATATATAAAATCAGAATTTGCTGATAAATTTTTGTCTGGCATTGTTCGTTAAACTGTAATAAAATTTAGATTTAACTTTGAAAATGTCACATACAACAGAGTGTGAAGACATGGGCCGGATTAAAGTAGTTCAGAATATGTGCACTGATTAAATTTTATGAACACAGTGATGCACCTTGGGGATCCATAAAATTTGGGAATTTCTAGACCATCTGAATAAAAAATACCCAAGGAAGATTCTGTACCTTGGTGTTACTATACTACACACAATATTAAAAACTCTTTAAGCACTTTGTTTTAATTTCAGCAATGCCATTCTGTGAATTGTGTAGAAAAAAGTAATGTCTAAATTGTCAGTGGAATTATTATTATTATTATTTTTATTGCTGTTATTATAATAAGTCATGGTAGCTCAGTCAGTATAGTGACTGCCTATGGACTGGGCGGACAACCAGGGTTTGATCCCAGACAAAGGTAGAGGATTTTTCCTCTAGCCTCTGCATCCAAACCAGCTCTGGGACCCAACCAGCCTCCTGATGGGTGCTGGTGTCCTTTCCCCAGGAGGGTAAAGCAAGGCTGGGGTGTCATGATGACCACTCACCCATACTAGTGCTGATGTTGAGAATGAGTAGGAGCTATACCTCCTTCCCATCAAGCATATAGTAGAACAGCTTTAATTTTTTATTATTATTATTATTATAAAAATGGTGGAATGAATGAATGAATATATAGGCACTCTTCTCATTTGTTCATCCATTTGCATTCAAGTATTGTCTTTATGCAACTTTTTATTGTGTTAACTTTATTTTACAGTTTACAAATTTGATTTGTGCAGTAGTGTGAACATTTCTTTAATTCCCTCAAGTATATGCATTATTCCTTGTGTTGTTTCAGTTATTAAACCATTTTTGGCACCATATCTAATCACATATATTTGTATAAAATTAATAACACAAATGTGTGAAACTGTAAAAATTAGAAAAACTGTTTCCAGCCCTACATCTGTTGAGTATAGGATTCAGGAACATAACAGTAACTCTTAATGAACTGCAAATACAATCTGATCCAGGAAAACTGAAAGTAAAGAAAAGAAAATAGCCCATAATAATTGCACAAAACTATATTCTACGTATTTCCAAGCAAGATTCACAGTGATATGCCTCAAAGTTTTGGCAAAGCCTTAATCCTAAACTTCTTCACTGACATTTCAAAACAAAACATGTCATATGTCACTATGTTTGGCAGGCTGTAAGAAAGGAAACTTACAGAATCTAAAACTAAAATCACAATTTTTATTTATATTACTGGTCAAGATAATGAAGAAGCAATACCAGGATAGCATTATATCAAGCTGAGTCAAGAATGAGACGAGAACAACACAATATGGAGCAAAGAATCTGATTTGTCAAAGCATAAGATGCACACTTTGTGTGACAGGAAAAAGGTTACTGATAAAACTGACATAGAAAATTAGGCAGTGGCATTCATAAAGTTCCCATTAATGTAGGGAGAATATGAAATGAGTAAGAAACAGTTCATATTTTGCAACATAAACTGAGAAGAAAGATGATTTTAATCCAGAGCATCACCATCACTTGTAAGATAAATGTTTTCAAAAACTATTTTGTTACATGTCAGAGGAATGTTCAGTCAAGGAAGATATTTTGCCTAAAAATGCACAACTCTGAGATTTTTCTGCCTTTGTAATATAACAAATGGCTGAAGAACTGCATTTGAGACCACAAATTCCTCTTGGAGTATCAGACTGCTTAGCTCTGAAAATCACTATTAGCCCATTATTATTAAAAAAAAAGTTTTACACTAGGAGGTAGATGTGAATACGTCTACACCCAAAGAACCACGCACATATGGAGTTGTAACCGATTCCCAACCATGTTCACTGAAAATATTAGTAACAGAGTATACAAGGTAGTGAGGAAACATACAGAATCGTTAACTTTATAAAATGTGTTTACTTTTCTTTTATCTAATAGCATTGTCCAACTCCAGAGGTTATACAGTATTTAATAAAAAGAAAGACACAATAAACAGATGATGAAATGAAATTAGAACAATATAATGCTAATACAAAAAAGGGACAGGCACTAATATATTCAAGATGTCATTTTGTAAAAACCCATTACTGTAAAATGTAACTGTGGGATAATTAATTACTGATACATGGTTGCTAAATAAGGCAATTTTCTCTGTATAACCAGCTGCAGAAGAAAACACAATTTACAACATTATAATGTTGACAGAATGTTTCTAGTGAACACAAAAGTGGACAAAAGACAGCAACCATACAGTGGTGTGTATATTACTACAGTAATAAAGATACTGCAGTACATGATGTGTGTCCAACTCTCGAGTACTGTGTAACCAAAGTACCAAACTTTTTTTTTTTTAAATAATTTTTACCATTAAAAGTTCATACTGCCAATTCAACCTTCTAGAGATGCTATTTAACCTTTATCTTACTAGTGTTCCCAGTCTGGGATGTAAGTTGTGTACTCAGCCCTACAAACGTTCCCGGAGCAGAACTCAAAACTTGCAACATTGTAAGTAGACTTGGCTACATCTTTTGGCCTCTTTTAGGGGTTGCAAATATTGAATCACTTTCTCTAGGGTTTTTACAAGGTCAGCCTGAGCTGTTAACCTGGAAACTATAACCATAAACAACAATAAACATTGTTATTGTCATTTTCAGACCCCCTATTCAAAGCTTCTCATGATGGGTGAAAAGAATGTGTATCCACTGAAGTAGTGGAAACAAATATTTCTGTGTGGTCATTAGTTCACAACCATGGTTTCTACTATGTCGAATAGCTTCCAAAGAAGAAAATAAAGTTACTAAGGCCTATTTAGGCAATTAAGATATTAACTGCATTTTTAAAAAACTCTATGTATTCTCTGTTCTACTCGAATAAATATGACTTTTATTTCGTCAATTTATCATGTTTACTTTAGATAATATGAAAGTTTTTTGTAGAGTGTGCACAAAAGTTTAAAAACCTGCAAAAAAAACTCCGTAGGGCTGCTAACACTTTGCCATTTAAATCCCCATCCTTTAAAGGTTAAAGTACAAATGTATTTGTATACCTACAGTTTAAAAGATCAGTATATGATCAGCAAATACCCTAAGGTTAAATAAAACATACCTCAATTTACAATTATATAATCCATGTTATAAGGCATATTATGTGGTACAATTTTAATTTAAAAAAGTACTGAAAATATACACTGGTCATGGCACTGGAAGCCTTGAAGTACTTAAGGAAATCAGCACACTATCAACACTAATCAAGATTCTCTTCTCAGAATATGTTACATAAAAAAAAATAATTTAATATGACACTATCTTAAAAATGAACTCTATTCTTTTGGCAGTATATTAAACTCTGTAACTAACCTGAAGTCAGAAAACACTTCCCATTTAAGTGTAAGCTTCTGTAACAACAAAACTGTTAATATTCCTGCAATATATTATCACCTTCAGAATACTTTTCCTCTACAAGTACCTTAGGTTACCCCATACCACATTTGCTCAACCTTGTAAGGTACCAATATTTGTCATGCCCTCTTGTAACTTAAAATGGCATACTCAAGTAATAATCAGTATTTTGTAAAATTGCTTCACACATAGAAATGTCAAATTTCTGGCTTACTAATACCCTGCTAAAAAGGTGTTTATATTTTAAGCGTCTCCAACCACTGTGAACTACAGATTCTGTTCCCATTATGTTAATCTGTAAACACTGATTTACTCATCTTCAGTTTTTGTACAAAGAACACAGGAAGAGGGAAATACGTGAGTATTTAACACTGTATCAATACAGAAACCAGTAACATGTTTTAAAAAGTTGAACATATATGCTGTTACCGATAATTTTAGTTCGTCATGGAGTTCCATACACTAAAGACTAGTCATGGAGTTCCATACACTAAAGACTAGTAGATAGTGTAAGAGTGTGTAACCATTATCAATAAATGTTGCATCACTGGAAACTACACTACTCTTTATACAAATCTAGTGTCCCTTGTGGTGAGCTATGCTGGCAGTAGCATAGCTGCTGGTAGAGCCTCCCTAGCCAGATTGGTCGAGGGGGAGAGGTCAGACTAAGACGGGTACCCTGGTCCTCCAGGTTTGGGGTTGGTCGCAAGGCTAACAACCTTGCACCGTAAAAAGGAAGATGTTTTGAAACCTCAATCAAAGCCTCAGACAGGCGGACCTAACAGAGGACCAAATGGAAGAGGAGAATTGAGGAGGTCATGGACCGAATACGGACCAGAGAGCCATAGAAGAAGAAGAAGTGTCCCTTGTGGTAATGATTCAAAAGGAAAGAAAAATATTACAAAATGGGGAATTTGTGAGTAAATACAGTATTTCATAGATGTACACAACAGAAAATTGAATCCTGAATCTAGTAACCATCCTTCATAGACACAAGATATCACAAACAAGCAATATCATAGTTTGACGTCCAGAACTCTGTCATGAAAACTAGAAAACACAGCATCACATCCTCTGTGCTTGATGCATTTCCTCAATACTGTTTTCAAAATGGTAATGTCTATCACAATTTATTCCTATTAAATCTTATCTAATCCATATCTAATTTAGGCAAAAGCAAACCACCTGTGTGCAATTTTGATTCCTTCATTTTGTTCAGAGACCTAATAAGATCGTCCATTGTGATCGGTCGCAACGCATCATGGAATTCGTCTTCTGAATCGCCTAGGACACCTAGTGGAGATGACTTACTTGTTCCAGCACTGCTTCTGAAGGAAAAAAAACAAGCATAAATATGTCTGACTATGCAAATAAAGGGAAACAAAAATGAATTATGGATAGAGTCATGTAAACAGTATATTGTAAGAAAATGCAGAACCAGTTACGTTTCATCATGCATCATCAACTTTTTGCTCCTCCTAACGTAGCCTAATGTAGTAAAATTAAAAGGTCCTGTCTCCCCCACTAACAATAATATTTCACTTAAAATTTAGATATCTTAAAAAGCTTGGCTTATATCACCATACACTAACATTCTATATGGAATGGGGAAAGGGTTAATTTCAGAATAAAATAATGACATTTAATCATGCATGATCCAGGAAAATGTAACACTTCCCTTACTGGTCTCTGACCAGTCTCTAGAGTACAGAAATGTGCATAATAATAACAACAACACAGTTTCATGCAAACTAACAAATTTTTTAAAAGTCTGAGGAGTGGGTACACACACTGTAAGGCATGTTTTCCTTCTAGAAATCACTCTAAAATAACAAAAATGTTATACTTAAGAGTATTTCAAACATAAACGTGAAAGAAAAATGCCCAAGGAGACCAAGAACAAGATGAAAACACCAGATTAGGAAAGATATCATATAAGAGGAGGAGGAATAACAATGAATGAAAATGAGAAGCAGCTGCAGAAAGACACAGCTACAAGACAAGGCTTGGCTGTCAAATGATTCACATAAAACGGAGTGTGTTAGGAAGAGGACATCTGTACAGCTTTCTCAGAAATTCACTTACTCTTTTCCAGCCTCAACCTTCATGTAATCACGAACCCTATATACTGAAGCAGTGCGGCACATCTCCCTGAGATCTGATCCAGAGAAATTTTCAGTCAGTTTTGCCATCCTGTTAAGGTCCACATCTTCAGCTACTGGCTCACTTCCAAGGATAAGCCTCAGGATTTGCCACCTTTGTGTTACATTCTAGGCCAAAGTAAAGATCATAAATCATTAAGGTCTGTTTCAGAAAACCTATTCACTGAGCCATATATAACAATTCTGAGCATATTTAATTCATGAAAGCAAATTTAAATGGTGCATAGATGCCAGCAAGGAGTAACTCATATATCCATTGTTTGCATCCTGTCGTGGTTGTATATAAATATATACAACAAAATATTGCCACACATAACAATATTTATTATATTAAGAATAAATTTTTATTCTCAATAATTTTATTCCTTTTATATATATCGTAATTCATATTGTATTTACCCAAAGTCTGGCATCAGACTCCCTTTCAGAAACATTCAATAGGTTTTGTTCTACAGCCTTTATCCCTTCTGCAGAAAATCTGTCAGTATGATGCCCTTCATATCTCATAAAACAATCAAGATTACCTTTCCACCTGATGATGATACTATGGACTTCAGTTTTACTGAAAACAATAATTTATGTTCACAGAAACAAGCTTAAAAATTTATGATGTATGATGATAATCAATACTTTATCCAAAATGTCACTATTCAACAGCACTCACTGGCAAACCAATATGAAAAGTTGCTGGCATCCTTCGAAGAATTGCTCTATCAAGGTCCTGAGGCCTGTTTGTGGCTCCCATCACAATGACCGTACAATTAGGATCAGTGATAAGGCCATCCCACAATGACATAAACTGTGCCTTCATCATGGCTGTAGCCTCATGATCGTGTGAGTTGCGATTCCTCAAGAAGGAATCTACGGTAAACAATATTAAAATTAATTTTATTGATTACAACAAATGAAATATACAGAATGTTACAAGAGATACATGTGGGAATAACATATGCACAAACACATATCTTAATCTCTGCTGTTGCAAGTCTCCAATGACAGTTTATGAATGATAAAATTGGCTGATATTTCAGACAGGTCAATGTGTCCAAAATAAAAGTACTATTGCCTGCTACAGAGTTATTAGATAATCCAGAAGTATTTCACAGAAATAATTTGTACACATAAGGAGGCATAAGAAACTCCACATGACAAAGATTAATATTACTAAGACTGCTCTATATTTGCATGCGTAGTCTAATAAATAACAAGAAAGTGAATATGACTTAGAAGGACCTACTGTACCCTCTACTCATAACATTACCTTAGCATTATGACTGAACACTCAAAAGATTACACTATAAATATGAGGGTCACTCCAAAAGTAATGCACCAAATTTAAAAAAAAATCCCCTTTTATTCTACCGTGTTGCTATATACACAGAACACAAATACATTCGTCTCACTTCTATTAAAACTTAGTTCAAATCTGTGCCTTTGGTAGGGAAGATCATGGTGACAATTTTCTGGGACTCGGAAGGACTTTTTCTTGTGGACATCATGCTTAGAGGAACCACCATTAATTCCGAAGCGTACATGAAGACGCTGAAATAGTTTCATTCATGGATGTGCCGTGTTTGACCACACTGACGGATGTGAGTCATTCTGCTGCTGCATGACAATGCCTGGCCGCACGTCAGTCTGAGAACCACAGAGGCGATCACAAAATTGAGGTGGACAGTGTTGCCACACCCACCATACAGTCCTAATCTGGCACCATCATATTATCACCTGTTCGGTAAACTGAAACACAGCATTCGTGGGACAAAGTTTGAAAACGGTGACTCCCTTGTGGCATCTGTGGAAAAGTGGCTCAAAAGCGCTGATCCTGAACTTTACCATGCAGACATACATGCCTTTGCTCCGAGGTGGCATAAGGCAGTTGAGAGAGATGAAGACTACGTTGAAAAGCAGCACTTTGTTCCCATAGGCTGCACCTATCTACTGTGTGAATAGCAAAGTTGTAAAATAAAAATTGAATTTTTAAAAAAGTATGGTGCATTACTTTTGGAGTGACCCTCATACATTCATACAATTATAAAGTTTTGTACATCACCTATTATATTCATATCAAAATATATTAACTTACCTATCTCATCTATAAAGACAATGCAAGGCTGCAACTTCACAGCAAGTGTGAAAACAGCAGCAGCCAATTTCTGACTTTCTCCATACCATTTGTCAGTGAGAATGGATACATCTAGGTTAATAAATCGTGTATGTGCTTCACTAGCTGTCGCTTTGGCTATCATGGTTTTCCCACAGCCTGGAGGTCCATGTAGTAAAACACCTACCACACAAAGTACCCTGTATCTATCAAATTATACTGTACACAAAATTGTCAAAATCAATATCAAATTATCATATTCATATTATGAAGGGTTTCGATCATGTAACACAATCTGAGTAGTTCAAAGTGTGCAATTTTGATAGCACTGATCAAGGTCTTGACACAACAGCTGTCTACATATTACTATAATTAATTTGAGATTACATACAGTTCTCACCACTTGCTGACTGCATGCACTGAAATTATGTTCTTAATAAAACTGCCAGATTGTGACAATGAGTAATCAAAGAAGTAATGGCAAATTACCTTTTGCAAGGTATATACTATATAAATATTTACTGTCATTGTGTCTCTATTTCAGGACTACATTGCCAATATTTAAGATGGCAAATTCAAATATACTCCACATAGAAAAAGTTTACTGAATGGAGTGAATCAAACATCTAATACACTACAAGGAACCCAATCTGTGCACAGACCAGCTGGATAGAAACTTGTTTGCCTGCACCGGCCCACTGTTTCCCATCAAATGTTAGAGGAGTAAGAGTAGGAGTAGCTGTTTTGGTGGTGGCAGTACCTGTAGAAATAAAAGTAGCAATACCTTTTGGTGGTTGTGTGAGTTGTGAGTCAGCAAACAAATCTTTCTTCTGAATTGGTAAGATAACAGTCTCCCTCAACTCCTGAATAACATCTTCCAGTCCAGCAATGTCTGCCCATGATACAGGTATATCAGATGGTTCTATCAAATGCCCAGCAATCATCAACTCATATTCTGTTAACTACAACACATTATAAGGACCAATTACAACAGTATTTCTTCAAGTAAATAAAATCAAACAAACTAATGAAATCCAGCATAATCATATGAAACTTATATAATTAAGCATGATCATATGATTAAAATTAAAAATCATATATGTTGCCTTGATAAATATGAACATACAGAATGTTCATTGTCATGATACTGCAAGGAGTATGAACATACAATATACTTTTGACCATCTAGATCCTGTAGAGTGAACACATGCAGCAAGATCTTTGCTGACTGTAAGCTTCAGACATCTTTTGGGGACTGATTACACTAAATGATCTGTTTCTTTCCCTCTTTCTCCTGGCCTGACCAAAAGTGGCACATGTGACACAATTTTATAGTGACAGGAAAGAAATTTACTCTAGCATTGTTTCAGGCCACTTAAACACCACTCAACAAAGGAGTCTGACTTGTTCACAAGCACAACAAGGGCAATAATAATAAATACAAACCTCTACATTCAAATTCTTATACTCAATTCCAAGGCGCCTCAACTTCTCATCTGCCTGAAAGAGATTAAATTTTTTTGTACTTTAATAATACATACAATGTTCCTGAACAATTTATCATGCATTTCCTACAATGAGTTGGAAAAATTAAGTTTTCAGTATTTTGACTGCAGGTTGATTGCTGGTAGAGGGTTTGGACATTTCTGTCACCATGTCATTAATGGATCAGACAACCACATCTAGACCCTATCCAATGGGCACCTACAGTTCTTTTCCTAGTGGCAAAAAGGCCAGATACTCTCACCTCCATCTAAGGTTAGGTTAAGAACACAGAGCACTATATCCTGAGCCTCAGTACACAAGAATGACAGAATAATACTGCATTTGGTATAAAGAAAGCAATGTCTGACATTAAAAATTATCAAATGATAGGTTCATAGGTATTGAGATAATAATTGTAATATTGGTGTGATGTCACGATGTGTATGCTCAAATTCAAATGAAAGTGATGTGACAATGTGGAAAAGGACTTCTAGTTCATGTGTTCAAAATACATATTGCCACATGTAACACCAACTTCAATCAGATAACCTTTCAACAACATGTAGCATCCAATTGTTTGCAGCATGCAGCAGATTTATGTCTAAACAAGTAACTTTTTAGCCTTGCATATTGTCTTCTTCAGTGACATTCTGAATATTTCACTCACACATCACATGTATATGGTTACATACTGTGTTCTTCTAACACATATTAAAGTGTATAAAAAGCAGCTGGATTTTTAAATCAATATAATAATGTTAGCACTCCACACTATTAAGAAATACAAAAGTTATGACTATAAACAAAAAGTTGTGTAGGTTAGGTACGTCTGAATATAACGCTACTTCACGTAAAAACTTACCTTCTTTTTGGCTGTCTTCTTTTGTTTGTTGGTGGGATCAAGCTGAGTAATCATCCACTTAATACTAAAAAAAGTTACACCCGTCAAAAATGCAAGTCTAATAATCAAATTAATGAATTCTGACCGAGAAAACGTTTGTGTATCAACCATGTTTCTGGCTGGTATCAATTCAAGTATCGAAATCTAATACAAAATACATTAAATGACTGCCACAGAAAATAAACTGTAACAATCAGATCAAAAATAAACACAAAATCCAACTAACCACACGATTTCCTGCATGCAATAAAGGTAACATACTTCTGTGGCATGAAAATTATCAACGCTCTTTGGTATGGATATAGCCTAAACAATTTTTTGATCATCTGTGCACACTAAGTAATGGATGACAAAATACATGCTCCACGCTAACGCGTGGACTATTAACGTATAAACCGTTATCATATGAGCTATGGCTGCTCAGTCAATATAGTGACTGGCTACGGACTGGGTGATAGGGGGTCGATCTCAACGGGTTTTTCCATTAATCTCTGCGTCCAGACCGGTTCTGGGGCCCACCTAGGTTCCTGCAGGAACCTTTCCCAGGGGTTAGGCTGACCACTCACCACTTATATATCCATGAACAGTTTACATGAAACTTAAAAATTGATGCAGTATAAAAATAAGACTAGTCACAGTTTGTGAAACTGTGGTTCAAGGACCTGAAATACTTTGGTCAGTGTTTTATCGTCTTTGTTCATGTGAACATGCATGACTTATGATGTTCTAGTTACTTTTTATAAAAGAATTGTGCAGGAAATTGAACAATCATTTCAGACCATGACTTAAAGTTCTTTAAAGAAAAGCAATAAAACATCACCTTACATTTTAAAAAAATCATTGAATAACCAGTCTCAGATTATTAGTGTCTCATTTCAAGAAGCTATGATAATTCACATTTAATGATACTCTGGTTTACTTCCAATATTGATTTAACCATATCAGAATTGAGGTTCTTATGGCAGTGATGATGCCAATACGTTTCTTCTCAGTTGTGATGCTATGACTGTCTCAGAGAAAGATAATGTCTCCGTCTCCAGTGTTGAAGAACAACATGGATTTTAGCATGTCAGGTACCTATATGCCAAATTATCCTGGAAGCCCAAGTTCAAAATTGATTTTGGGCATAATATGGAAGACAAACTGGCAGTGTAGCAGTTTTCTCTCACAGTACTCTGATTTTACCCAGGCAGTAATCATTCAGTCAACATTTCATATTAATTTAGTACAGACACTGGACTGTGACGGGTCTCGTCCAGTTGTACATAATGGAAACCTCAACCCTTATTTCAGACATTTTTGAACTGGCATTATAAATACTGAATTCATCACAAGGTTATATTAAAGTACAGTAGCCTGAGCAAACCCTCATTTCTCATGCAATTTATATTTCTTGGCAAACTTTATATGGAAGATTAAATAATTGGAAACCATCATTACCAATGCAGATGTAATATATGTAGGCCAGAAGAAGTTAGAGGGTCTCATCAGTATGAATTCCAGCATCAAAAGTTCAACTACTGATTCATCAGGCATTGAAGAAAAAATGGACTAGATCTACTTAATAAATTAATTTTCAACTTTGCTAAAGAATATGCCATTAGAAACTGAAGATGTACTGCTTGTGGGAAAATTTATGCTGTGAGATAAATACTGCAAAACCATCTCCGAGCAGGAGGTTGAAGGATCGTGGAAACAAGGCAGGAGATTTCATTCATCTTCTAACACTGTTGGAAGAAGAACAGCCAAACATTAATCAGAGTGAGATACAATGAAATAGAACTCAAATCTATAAACAATTTTTGAACCATTTGAACTTCATTTAAATTATTCCATTCTTATATTAGTATAATTTGTGAATGCAAAATAATTGTTATTACATGGAGCCACAGTGCAACCAAGAAATTATTTTAAGTTAACTGCATTATGTAATAATTAACTGTACACTACAAAAGAATTACTACCGTCATCATCTCACTCACAACTTCTTCCCTCACACTTATGTCTGAAACATACATGTTTTTAATTGTGGATGGCAGTTCTCAGTCAAATATAGACAGTTTCAGTGAAATTGCAACAAACGAAATTCATGCAGAATGTTAATAAGCAAGGTGCTTGGGCTAGCAGTACATACATCACTGCTAGAGGAACAAGAAAAATTATTACATTTTCCAAACAAAAATATAGAATTTCTCCACTTTAAGTATAAAAGAATAAACAAATGTGTGAAAACACCCAAGCACATTATAGTTCTTGAAATGTATAGATGTGTTCTGTGTTAACTTCTAATGTACTTGTGACCACATACTCTCTATCAAACTATGGATTCAGTCTTCTTTCACCTACAGGATAAAACATTTCTACTCTAACCAACTTAACACAGAAAAGGGATGTTTGTAATGTAACAACACTGGCTAAAAGAGGCAGCTTATTCTAATTATAATCATAATAAGTATGTGCAGCAACATTTTGTTAAGTTAAAGATGGTGGGCAGGGAGAATTGTTTTGTACATAGTTCTGGCAGCTGTCTGCATTTCTTAGTGCAGTGAATAAATTCAAAGTTCTTATAACTCTGCACACCTTGCACATTAGCTCTATTAATGGACAAGTCCTTAAAATATTACTGATATACAATTTAACACACAATTTTCATTTCTTACAACTTTATGCATTTTGACATGTGACTGTCATCTTCAGATGACACAACTTCATTTTCTATGGAGTACTTGGCCAGTATCCAGTATATAATCAGTTTCACAGCAGAAAGTTAACCAACCCAAATTATGTATCAAGTGCAATGTCACTAAAACTGACTAATGGCTGAAAGGTTTATTTAAAATTCATGCACATTTAATAAGATTAAATTCTGTGTTGTCTTCTTTATTGTGTGTCATATTAAAATTCTATGCATTCAGTAAAAAGCCACATGATAAATATCGTCTTCTTCTTACTTCACATAATTTAAACCTGGCATGGTCAATCCCACAACCTAAAAGCTGGATCAATCATTCAGTTGTTTTTATCCAGATAACATGTGATTATGTTTATGTAGTTTTCTGTTCACTATACTGGATTGGATTTTGGACTTAATTTTTTAACTAACTTTATATGTAATACCATGGCCCACAACCATGATGAGGAAACTAGATCTGGCCTGAGACTACAAAATAGTTCCCCATGTTCATTTAGACCAATGTTACATGCATACTGATGTCCTTGGTCCTTCTGCATGACTAAATGCATACCCTCAATTGCAATTGCCCCATCAGTATGTAGCTAGTGGCAGCCTGGACTGAATGAGTTGAATGTGATGTGCAGTGGAGAGGTTTGCTCATTTACACTTCAATCCAAGTCATCACTAACAACATACTGATGGTAACCACATATAGAAATAGAGTAAAATAAAACCACCAGTCTGCAGTCACCAACCAAAATGAACCCATTACCTCCCATATAAAAACTGAATGCTGTATTTAATAAATATTCACCTATATATCAGATTTTGTATCTTTCTTTTGCAATTGACTGTGCCAGTCCTACACCTTCTAAATACTTGTTGCACTTTGCTTTTTGTAATTTTCAAGTTTATGTATTTCTTACACACTGCTATTGAAATTTTCACTTTATTTATGAAAACAAATAATGCCACATTTCAACTTGCTCATATTTCCATTTTTGTGTTTTTTTTAACCCCAACGAATTCATGCAGTTATTTCTGTAATGGTTCAAGCAACATGTTTAAATACATATCTACATTCTGTAAATACTTGCTGCAAAACATTGGCACTTTATCTGACTAACACATATTTTGTCACTTTACAATGCAGCAATCAGTTCAAGAAAGTAAGTTGACATTGATTTTAAAAACTTTATTTTCTTCTTCAGCATTAATGGATTAGGCCTTTTGACTTGTTCCAATGCAGAATCAGTACTAAAATTACGAATTTGTGTAGTAGGACCCTAAAATGAGTGATCAGTTTGATGCAAGGCCTCTACCTACACAGAAGGATGTGGACAAATATCCATGCCTAAGTGGGATTCAAACCTATAATCCCAGTGTACAACCAATCATGGCCAATGCATTAGATCACTTGGAAAAGACTTTGCATTTAAATGAAATAAGGACAGATTTATCAAGCACCAACAAATCAGACAATATAATATGCTCATGAATCCCTATTTTTGTCATAGTGATCTTTTTAGTTTGCAATTCATGTGTAACCCATGAAATACACTCCATTAATAAGATACTGATTTATTTTTGAGTTCATGCTTTTGACAATTTGTTTTAGTTTTCAAGCTTTTGATTTTGATGATATATGTTTACTTCTTATTGTAAAAACAAGTATTTACTTTGGCAGCGGCCATATTATCTCCTAACCTGATTTGAATGAGCTATGTGCAAGGTAGATGCAGGTAGAAACTTCCAACCACACCCCTATTTATTCAGAACCTTGAGGGAGAAAAAGTGTTTAAGGTTTAACAGTAGCAAAATAAAAGATTGTTACTACTTGCCCTGAAATAACCTTTCTGAAACCCAAAATGCTCATTTTGGAAGCTCTAGTTTAAATGTGCCCATCACCAAATCACATTGGTAAGGTTATGTCACCATGAAAAAATAATAAACACGATAATTGGTAACACAAGATAATGGAAGGATGGTGTTTGTGATATCTCTGAGACAGTACCTCTTACTTACTTAGTTATAAATGGTCATGGTTTATTGGTGTCCATCAATAGTACGTTATTATAGCAAACACCTAATTAAATTACCAATTCATTCACATATACATTTCAGTTAAAATCACACATTTTTTTGCTTTCCTGTGAATGAGCAGTATACCCTTGTTATAGGTTCTAGCACACAAGCTGATTTTTGTTATTGCACCTTCTTGGTTTTAATTATGAGCACATTCTTCTTTCTAAAAATAAAGTGACTTTAATAATTATGATGATGATGATGATGATAGCAGGATCAAGAAACAAAGCCATTCCCATGTTCACTAGGAATCTATAAAACTTACAATGATAAGTCCTACAGTTATCTACTAAGTACAGCTCAGCATAAATACCTGACTAAACATCACACTTTCCCGTTTGATGCCAATACTTTGAACCACACACAAGACTTTTAAAAATCTCTACAGCAATTTCCTGTAATACACTACTAAGATTATATATTTATATTTATATAATAATCAGATTTATATACTTATTCACAAAAGGAACAGAATGATACCATATTTACAATATGCAGAATACCCACAAGTGCAAGAACTTTGAGGGAAAATAAGATTTCCAAGATCTGTGTAGTTTGATGAATTACCTTCTATG